AGCTTTCCTGAAGTATTTTAAGGCGACCACCTTTTAATGATCTGATTCAAGACCTCACGCCGCCGTCCACCACAGCCGTTGCTGGTGTTTGTTAGGCTGTGGCCCTTGAGTCTGTTACAGTGCTGATCACTTTTATTGGCCCGCATGTAGTGAGAATTAGATAGGCATGGTCTCTGCCCTCAGAGCATCACAAAGGATGTGCACAGTCATAAAGAGAAAGCAGTGAGAGCTCGCTGGGAACGGCAAGAGCATACGAAAGACCGCAAAACATTTAGGTGGCACATAGGTCAAGGCTTCGGGTCTCATAAGCCTGGGGAACAAACGCGGGGCCTCGAAACACACATCCCAGTAGGAGAGACGAGGAGAAGCTGGCCCTCTGCTCCGCTTAACTTGAGCAGGCTTCCTGGAAGAAGCGAGCCTTCAGAAACACACAGATTCTGGCAAGCAAACGGTGGCTTAGGGGAAGTTTTCTCCCAGGCTGCCAGGAAAAAGAAAATGAAAAAAAGCCAAATAGGTCAAGTGGCCGTTTCCTGTGAATCCTGTTCTCCCAGGCCGGCCCTTTGTCATCTGCCACCGCCATCCCCACTGTGCTGTTTTGAGATGGGGGAACCAAGACCTAAAAACGGGAAATGAGAGGAAGGGGGATTTGTGGACTGCGATGGACGTGGAATCCGGGAGAGTCCTCGAGTCCCCAGGTCGCTGCTGAATAAACGGCCAGGCTCCCTGCTCCTTCTGGCTGAGCTGTGACTTTGGACAGTTACTTCTGCTTTGGACTTGCTTAACCTTTAATCTGGGGATCCCCACTCGTTCCTCTATCCCCACAACCACCTCGCGTTGATGGGAAAAACACACCAGGAAACAAACTCTTACGAGCTGCTCCCGTCCACTGTGGCGACGCGCAGATGCTCTGCGGTGAGTTTACTCTCTTGCAGAAACTCACCTGTGCTACATGCTCAGGGAAACTGAGTCGCAAGGAGCAGAAAGGAGACGATTTTTGTCGTTTGTACCCTTCGGTCTTTGGCTATCGATATAAATAACATTTTAACGTTAGCGGATTTCTCTTTCTGGAAGTTCTTGCCATAGTCATTTTATGGATGGGGAACGCGAGGCCCAGAGAGATTGACCTGTATCGCCTCAACATAGGCCTTACAAAATACTGCCTAGCTGAAACGCAACAACCCTAGCGCTCAGGGTAAAATTCTTTGTCCATTAGAGTCCCATCCAAGTTAGAAACATTAAATCTACTCAAACTTTGTGAAATTAGGTGATAACCGCTGTAAAGTTTGAGGTCCTGACCAGTGTGGAGTCTGCGGTGGGGGCCAGAACGGCCGCGATCCTCGGCCCTCGCAGGGGGCCTCACGCTCCCGGGGCGCTCCACGCTCACGAGGGCACTCCGTCCTCGTCAAGGACATCAGTGGCATCCCCCCTGGAGAGATGAGGCAGTCAGAACTCACAGGACGCAATGAACAAAGGGTGGACGTAGCACTGAAACTCGGGTCCTGCGAACCCCAGTTCAGTGAGAAGTTTGGGGAAAAGACGCACCCTGCTTTTCCTCGGGAAACTGAGAGGAGACGGAGGGAGGCGGGAGGAAGCCAGTGGCGGCGGCACATCGGCCATGCTGGCGAAACAGGAAATGATCACAAGTAGGCCTTTCCCATGGTGACACAAGTGGCCTGGGCACTGGGCTCCGAGGGCCTGCAGTCCGTGACAGACTCTCTAAGAACAAAGACACACATGACATCCAGCCGGTGTCTGCCGCTGGCAGTCACCGCGGCCAGCCGCTGCGGAAGCAGACAGGAAGGCGCTGACGTCACGTGCACGGCCGCGTATGTCTGGGCCGTGGCCGGCATCAGTGCCCAAGTGAAAGCAGGAGCAGCGTGAAAAAGAAACACACACGCGCACATCCCCCGATCCGGGAAGGGTTTTTGGAGAAAATTAACTTTAGATGTTCTTTCTTTCCTCTTCTTTTAATTTCAGGAGCCAGGGAGTGGCCAGAGCCGAGTTAGGCCCGAGGTGTATCCTGGGCACACTGTGGAGATGAGTGGAAGTGTGGCAGAGGGCAGCGTCCGCAGACAAAGAGGGCTTTGAGCAGGTGCAAATGAGGGATGGCAACCTGCCTCGCCGCCTAGGCTGTGTCACGTGCTTCCGCCCCGTGCTTTCCGAAAGCCTGGGCTGTCCGTGCTTCAGGAACGAGGACCCCCGCGTGGCGAAAGCCAGTTCTGCCGCCGATGAGGTGGCGGCAGCGCGGTGCCGGAGGAGAGAGCGGATAGGGACCTGGCGCACGCTGGGCACGAGTCCCCAGCCATCCAGCTCTCCCCAGATTCTGCCACCACAGGAGAGGTTCCCATGCCAAACTCACCCGTGCGGACCCGCCAGTTGTGAGGGAGTTTCCGATTTGCTTTATCAAACCCAAGTTCACCTGCCGAGTTTCAGGCCAGTGACTAGGTTCTCAGCGCAAAAACTCTGCTGAGCTGGCAAGAGAACATTTCTCAGGGCATCAGCTCAGACTCCAGCCAGGTAGACAGTCCTGTTTGTCTCCGCTAATTGTTTATTCGAGTCACCCCCATGACTAATCAGAGACGCGGCAGCAGAGGACGGCTGGGAGACCGGGGGGTGCGAACGTGCGCAGAGGACCTGGACTCTGGTTTCTGGCCCTTTGTGAGACACAGGGTCCTCGGAGGCTAAGCGCTAGCTCTGACCACGGCCCAAGCCATAGGCAAAGGCTGGCGACGTCGTGCCTGAATGCCCTGGTTTCCAGGTGGACACGATTACTAAGATTTACATGGACGGTGTGAGAATCTGAGGAATTTTGATGATGATTCTTACGACTATTATTTTTGCCAACATGTGCTCACCTGCCACATTTACTCCGTGCCATTGTTCTAACCGCGCTGCACTTAACGCATTTCGTACAACTGTGAGTAGGTGCTATACGTATTACGTTCGTCCAGCTGAGAAGCTGACAGAGAGGTGAAGTAACTTAACCGAAGTCACACCGCTAGATGGAGGCGTCAGGACCTGAGAGCTTACATCATTGCTAAATCCCAGTATCTTACAGACTGTTCAGCCAAACCCCTGTCTACAGACATTGTTCTAGGCAGGGCATGGAAGACACCAAGGGTCTGTGGACGGTTCCCACACTCGGAGCCGGAGGTGTGATCACAGATAGCAGTAGTCCCCTCTGTGGCGCTGAAATTTTGCTCATTTTACTCACCGACTAGTAGGATTTTCTAACTAGAAAAGACATCGCCAATGCTATTACCTTTTCTTTTTAAACAAGAAAGGAGTTTTGAAGCCCAGAAAGGCCCAGCATGTTATCAACAGCTAGAGAATGCCTAGGAGCAAAGCCGACACCAGAAGCCGCCTTCTCGAACAGCTTGCGGTGACGTCTGCCCGCTCTTTGTGGCATTCGGGATGTGCAGGTGCCATCGGACCCAGGACTGGTGGGTCCACACACGAGTTTCGCATGAGCACTTCTGTGGCGGCAGAATCTGGGAGGTTTGGACGGCTGGGGATTGCGGCACAAAACGCAGCCTACAGTTTAGCCCAAACTGTTCGGTTCTTCCATTGCATCTCCCCTCTCCACTGAGATTTGTTTAACCTTTCCCGATCCTCACTCCGCTTTCCTGCCTCTGGAGAACACTAGGCCTGGACGCCACGCAGCAGCAGGGGCTGGGGACAGCCATGAGGCCGACCAGCTTGCGAGCCTCGGCCGCTGAGCCTTGTTGGGAGGCCGAGGTCCCCTGTTCCAGGCACCGGCACCCGCCCGGAAAGGCGAGGGGGACAGGGAAGGAGCGGCCGGACGCCTGGGGGAGGGGACCTGCAAGCTGCTTGGACGGGGCCAAGTTCAGACCCGACGCTGAGGGACGGGAACAAGGGGCCCCGGCCACCGCCTTCGCAGGGACAAAGACCGAAGCAGCGCGACCCAGAGGGCTTCGCGGCTGCCTTCTCGGGACGCGATGGGCCCCTCGTGGGCGGGCAGCGGAGGACGCGAGGTCCGCGGTCCTCCGGGGCCACCGGGCCCCGGCTGGGCGGGGGGCGGCTCGTCCCGGC